TTTTTTTTTTTTTTTTGCCTTCTAGTTAGAGCATGCAGAGGATATGCTATTAAAATGTTGTTTAAAAGTGTCTGGAGTAATTTTATGTGTGGTTATGCCACCAAATTTATATGTATAGTCTACTTTGTTTCAGTTTACTTCTTACTCTCACAGAATTGTTTTCTTTTTGAATTTATTTTGTATTTTAAATTATTTTAAAGTGTTTCCAAAGTAAAAACTGTAAACTGAAGTATTTCTTATACGTCTACCTTCCATTTCTTTCACCCTGCTTAAAATAGATAACCATTTTAAAGTGGTTTTGGTTTATCCTTTCAGGGCTGCTTTTTGAAAGGAAAAAAGAAAGCAAATCTGTATTTATATTTGCATTTTCCTGAGTTTTTGTTTTACAAAAACTAACATTTAATGGAATGCTATTCAGCAATAGGATGTGAAGTAGAGAACTACTTAGGGGTTCCTTGAGGGTTGGTCTTGAGACCTGTTATAATAGCAACTTTTCACTCCTTATCAAAATTTCCTTTTGTAGTCCTGTCTCCACAAGTACCTCAAAGAGCATGCAGTTTTTAAAAAAGAAAAAGATCACCTACCCTATTTGGCAATATTTAGCAAAATTGCACATTCCACAATTCTCTTACAAGTCTTTACTGAAGGTACAGTGACAACATTACAAAGTGACATTCCCTTTGTTTTGGTTCCTTGAACATTGCAGTTTATGTCTTGATTGTTTATTGGGGATAAAACAGTGATGATGTTGGCAGTCAGCAACAAAGGGGTTACTATGAAAGAAATGGTATTTTGAGACTTTACTGTTTTAAAATACTGGAAGGTTAAATATTTCATCAATTGAAGTTAACTAATTCATTATTTTATTCATTGTTCAGTTAAATATTTACTGAACACTCCTGGCATGGCAGTCTTTGTATTAGGTGCTTAAAAGATATTGGTAGATAAAACCAATAAAAATGCCCTTCTGGGGCTTACACTCTAGGTGTAGGGGGAAGTAGAGAAACATAATAAATTCACCATGTATTCTATTCAAAATGTACAGTTTTAGGGCTCCCATGTATGTCTTCCCTTTTTCACTAGCTCCCCTGCCTCCTGTTTTTCCCCTGTCTGTAAGTGGTACTCAGGAATCGCAAGGTCCCACTGGGAGGAAGCTCAGAGGACTGGAGCGCCCTGCCCTGCACTATGGACGGCCGCCTGTCTTCTGCCCTCCCCCCTCACCTCTCACCCCTGTTCTTAATGTGTTTTATTTAGAAGGTTGCTTAAGAAATGTTTTAATACTTCTCTCTGGTCACTACAATTTAGGTAATTATCCTAATTGTAATTAACTGCTTATAAAGTGTTATAACACAATAATATGTTCAAGAATAACGTCCTTAATACTTGTACTTTTATTTCAGAAATGACCATTAAGAAGTATATGCCCAGATGCAAAAGTGATGAAACAATCCATTTGCCATAACATAAGATGCAGCTGTGGCGTTCCAACCAGATTGGTAAGTGTGGCCATGTCTTTGAAACTTTATAGTTATTTATTTTATCTACTTTGAACAACATTTAGTAAAAAAATATGGTGGTCATCAGAAAAGTCACCGGGCACGGTGGCTCACACCTGTTACCTCAGCCCTCTGGGAGGTTGAGGTGGGTGAATTGCCTGAGTTCACAGGTTGAGACCAGCCTGATATAGAGTGAGACCT